TCAAAAACAGAAGGATTTTTTTTTATCACTCATCAATTAGTTTTTTCAAAAAATAAATAGTTTAAGCAAAAAACGTTTGGTTCCATACTTTTTATTCACCTGGTATGTAATTTTTATTAGTTTCTGTTTTCACTAGTTAAATTAATAATATGTATTTAGTTTGTTCAGAATATATTTTACATTAATTGAGAAAGTTATGTTTCATTTGTTATATAATAATAATAATAATTTTTTATATATATAATAAAGGTCTTTATTAATAAATTAAAAGTAATACAAAGATGCGGAGGCGAAGTCTAGCTTGAAGCTAATCAACTTAACCTCAAAAGAAAAATTGATTGAAAAAAAACAAATATAATATAAAAATAAAAATAAATATTATAAACAATATAAAATTTAAATAAAAATAAATTCGGAAGTCACTTAATAACTAAAAGAAAAGAAAGAAATTATTGCCAGTGGCTCAAAAACAAAAAGAAACAAACAAGAAAGAATTCTTTAAGAAGAAATGAAGAAAAAAAATAAACAAAACAAAAACAAAAATTATTATTATTTGTTTAATCAAAAACTTTTTTTGAAATTCTTATCTTGTTATGCAATCCCATAAACACCTAAAATTGAATGCCTAAGGATTTCTAGGGATTTTTGACAACTAAATCTAGGGATTACAAAAAATTTCACATGACAACACTGAATCGCAGTCTCAGTTGGTTATTTTTGCTCATTGTGTTCGTGTCAAATGTCACTTATGCTTTTAGATCGCACAGATCTATAAATTCTCGCGGTTTCAACTAGTGATACGTAACGAGAGTTCCATTAGTGTTACGTGACACGTAAATTTAAGATCAAGAGTGTAAATTGAAACCCACGGAAACGCCTTTGATTCCAGTTTTCATTTACCGGAAAAATTCAGCTATGCGCAAACGCTTTGTCTCGATTCAATTATTTTCTCATCTAGCTTTTCTAAATTGAGGAAATGGCGCTCACTTTTTTTTAATTAATAATCCTTTTCCAAATTTAATACAACCGAAAACCACAGATCTCTAGGCGTTCTTTTAAATACTTATGAAATATTATATATACCAGGTGAATAAAAAGTATGGAACCAAACGTTTTTTGCTTAAACTATTTATTTTTTGAAAAAACTAATTGATGAGTGATAAAGTACTATAAAAATGTGATGATTTAACAAGAATAAAATTTTTCGAAATTTCCTTTTGTTTTTGAGTTCTACAACAAAAAATATTTTTTTAAATGGCAACCCACTATAAAATCATTTTTCTCATAAAAGCTATACTTTAAGGATTACAACTATCTGCTTTATATTTAATTTTTTCATAAAAAATTTTTCACATAAATTGCAATTTTGACAAAAAAATCGCATAACTCAAAAACAAAATAAAATTTCGTTCTGAAAATACGATCACATTTTTTATATTACCTTAATTTATATTAATTATTATTTTTTGGAGCCAAATGATTAAAAATAAAACCGCTTGGTTCCATACTTTATATTCACCCTGTATGTATTATTCCTAATTTAGCAAATGAAAATGTTGAAGGCCAAGTTGAACCGAGAAATTGAAAAATGAAATCGTTGAGTAGCATTAATTACCTGAAAAAATGTTATAAACGTTCCTGCTATAAATTTTCACTTTCTACTAATATGAATCAAATAAATCTTGAATTTTTTTTACAAACACTCCAAAATATTCATTGTGAGTATAAAATAAAAAGTTTGAACATGCACAAAACTGACCAAAATAATACTTATTTACACTATAAGTGTGGTAGATTTAATTTAACTGCGTGAAATTTTAATATTGACACACGAAGTGGAGCTGAGTGCTTTAATGAAACTCACTGTGAAATACCAAATACAAATTTTTTTCGATTAATTCAAATTTTGATGTGTCAACACTCACTAGATATGAAAGATCTATGCGTTTAATATTTTCACCAGAAACCAAAAAAAAATGATTTTTGTATACTGAATAGATATGTGTACAATTCCAAAAAAAAAAAATCCAGTACGTAATTCCACAAAAATTTCACCGAAATTGAATTAAATAAAAAAAAAATTCATTTTTTTTCAAAATTTGTCAAAAAATTCAAAAAATACTGCTTAATTTTTGAAAATAATTTCAAAAAAATGTTTTTGATTTTTTGTAAAAAAAACAAGAAACAATACCTATTAATTTTTGAAAAAAAAAATCAAAAATTTTTTTTGTATTTTTCCAATTTTCTGTTTTTATCAAATTTAATTAATCTCATGTCAATTGTAAAAAAATAAACTGAAAACAAATTGTTGTTTTCATTTTGACAAAGATTAGTCAATATTCAGAAACAATATGTCCAATTGTTCCTTTAATTTTTTTGTAAAACTTTGATCGATTTAAAAATTTACAGGGATATGTGGGGTACATTAAGCTGTAAAAACACCTAAAACCACTAAAACAGCGCAAAAAGTTACTTTTTTTTCTTTCTTTAAATCAATGTTGAGGGTGAAAAAAAATATTTTTCGAAAAATCAAAAAAGAATCTTGTAACATTTATTTATTCCAGTTTTTAACAGTACTCTTATAACCTTAGTTCCTGAAATACCAATGGTCAAAGGCAAAAGGACCCTTTTTCATTTAAAGTCAGATATCTCAGCGACAACTTGACATAAAGAGAATATGATAAAAAAGGTGAACAAACATGCTAATCAATTTTTTGACAAATGATCTGAAAAATTGAAACGTGAAGCTTCAAAATGATTTTTTTTAATCTAGATACGACCGTTTTTCGATGAGTTACAGCCCTTCAAAAATCACCAAACAGTTTGGTGGTTTTTTGGAGTAGTGTATTTCAAAATGATTTTAGTCAAATGCAAATTTGAGAACTTTTATGATAAAATATAAAGATACATCATTATTCTATTATTATTCATTAAGATAAAGTTTATAAAACGAGTCGAGTCCGAATTTTTTTAATAATTTGAGTATACAGGCCGTTCCAGCGAGTTGAAAAGTCCATTAATGACATTTCAATGGTAATTTAGTCCATCACTTAAAATTATTTTTAACTATACAGCGTGTCTCAAAAATAAGATACAATACAAACTTGTGTTTTTTTTTTAAATGAAACACCCTACGTTTCTTAGCGTTTTAAACTTTTATTGATCGATTTCGCTTAGTTTTAAAAATAAGACGTTTTTTTTGACAAAAACATGCACTTTTTAAAAATTTATTACACAAAAACTAAGACTGCAAGAAATATTTTTTTTACTACCGCAAAGAAGAAGGTACAAGCTATAAGGTTGTAACATTTTTTAGTGTGTTGCATTTGCAAAGATAAAAAAAATGAGGGCTTTTGTTAAAAGTTCAATAATTTAAAAGATTTAAAGGGAACACCCTATTTATTGTTTTTACATTTAAGAGATTATTAAATTGTGTTATTAAAATTATTTACTTTTGGGCGTTTCTAATCAATAACTAAAAAAATATTTAACGTTAAACATTAAAAAAAAAATATTGTTTCAGTAGCCAAAAAGTGCACAGTTGCACAAGACATGGAAGAAATATCACTTAATAATCACATTTGTGTTAAACTGAACAATTATTTTTTATTTTTTTTTAATTTCAGTATTTATAACGACTTTTACATTCTCTGGATAAGTCAACGGATAAGTGATTCATTTATCAATTCTAGACATTAAAAGATTATTTTTTTTAAATAGACAATTTATCAATCTATTAAATGCAGAAATAAAAAATAGTGTGTTCCATTTAAATTTTGTAACAAACTTCTTAATTTATTGATCTTTACAAATACAAAACACTGCAAAATTGCTACAGCTAAAAATTCTGTACTTTCTTCTTTGCAGAAGTAAAAAAAAATTGTTCTAGCTGTCTTAGTTTTTGTGTAATAAATTTTTAAAAAGTGCATGTTTTCGTCAAAAAAAAAACGTCTTATTTCTAAAACTAAGCGAAATCGACTGTGAAAAGTTTAACGTAAAAACATTGTTTTAAAAGGCTACATCCGAAAATGCAAAGAAACATATGGTGTTTCATTAAAAAAAAAGACTCATTTTTGGGACACGCTGTATGATGTCCTATACAATTTTTTTTAATTTTACCCTTGAAAGGTCACTAATGGCTTTTTCAACTCGGTGGGACACCCTATATGCGAGATGAAAACTATACTTTGTCTACTTTGATACTGTTACCTAATTATCTCCGATAATTCCAAAAAGAAATATATCAGCAATTTAAAAAAAAATTCAGCACTTTCAAATAATCCCAAACAATTTCGATTAAATTCCTAAAAATTGTACTACTAATTCCCTCGTAGTTTATTAAAGTTTGTAGGCAACAATTTTGAGTTGGCAACATGACATGTCATAATTCAAAAATTTTCGAAAAGCCAACTTTTTGTGGATTTTTAACCACAAATTAATTCAAAAAGTTTTGATCGTCCTAAAAACCGTGTTGGTATCAGTGTTGCATTGTTTTTATCCCTCCAATAGCAAAAAACTTTTCGATAAAGGTGTCAGTTTCCGTGCAGATAGCACTTGTTAAAAATCGAAAATTTCCGTATTGTGATTGAAAATAACTCAAAGATAGTAAATTTAGCATTGTAAATAAATAAACGCTACTTTGAAAAATGTGTACTTGATAAGAGCCCTCTTGGACTTTGAATAGTGTCAAAATCTATAGGAAAATGTTTCAAAAATTGTGTTAAAAAGCGTAAACATTTAAATAGACGCAGCCAAATCAGGAACACCGACCGAGACCGTCCGCAGCATGTCAAGCAGCCCGAATCCAAGTCGGCTGGCAGCGTTTGTAATTCAACTGTTTGTTCAAAGCCTCCTGCGACGTGTTGAAAATGAGCCGTTTTTTCCCGTAAAACTGTCACAATATTAGTGAAATCAATAGTCATGGCGCCTAGAAAATCAATCCTGCTGTACAGCACGAAATGCGCGGCGGAGTGCCGATTAGAGACGATAACATCACTGACCTTGTATCATACGTTGCGTGGTCGATAGCTTCTGGTTGTTCGAAGACATTTCTTTAAGTAATTTTATACACTTTAAACTATAAACATCGGATTTTCGTCGCACAATTATACACTCACCCTTCACAAGCTATATTCTACTCAAGATGGAGCGACGAGCGCGGCCCAGCCAGAGCTCTCAGCTGTGCGCACGTCGGACGCGTCGGATCATTGCCGATGCCGAAACATTCACGAACGTTTTGGAACATTCCTGCGGCTGAGGGCGGGATCTGCAGGAATTGCGCGGAAAGGCGAGCTGCAGGAAACGCGACGAGTTACATGGGAAAAACGATAGATGGCGCTGTGCGAAAACTCGCCCCAAGGCCATCTGAATCAACAAGCTGCGCTTATAAGGCCGTTTCAATTTTCGATTTTTCCATATAAACTTTGTTTCTGTGACATTTCAGGAGTCAGTACCTTATTTGGCTCCATCTACCGATTTCGATCGCAGTCGATTGAGACTTTTTAGACTTTTTATTTTTAGGTTAAATGCTTAAATCAATCAATGAATCATCAATTAAAACATGAATGCTATAAAATATCCAAGATCCGAGCTTATTTTAGGTACATTCTGGACTAGCAAAATACTAATAAATTAGAATTGCAAAAAAACATGAAATCATAACACAAGGTAGGTTGAGAACAATTTATAAATTTAATATTTTTCTACAAAGTGATTTGTTCTGGATTGCACATTTTTTCTTTAATAAATAAATAATTTTCAGGTAATTTCTACCACTTCCATTAATTCAGAACGTAAGCCGTTAGAAACGCCTGCACCGTGTCTCCAAACTCCAGACTCATTTGACAAAAATTACATAATTTCAAGTCTATTTCGATTTGATTTTGATCGACAAAGCGATTTAAAAGTAGGTGATACTCATGATTTTGATTTAAAAAATGTTTCAGATGCAATAAGTTCGGAAGAAAAATTTGTCTTACTAGATAAGATTCAAAATTAAAAAAAAAAGTTACAGGAAGCAAATGTAAGATTTCAAATGTTGAATAAGTTGTACGAAAATAAACTTGAAAAACTAAAGAAAATGCAGGAAAACATTGTGAAGTGAAAATTTAGTCAGACGCGAAGGACTTAGAACCAAGGGCTGTTTTTTCTTGATCGAATTTATAATTGTTACCTAAAAAAACATGATTGCCTGAATTGAACTGTACGTCATTTTATTGCCTGGAGSTACATTTCTCCAAAAGGTTATGAATTTGCGAGAAGAAGACAATGTTTAAAAGCTCCATCCAAATCCAAAGCAACTTTAAACAGATATACATATGGGAAATTCACAAGGGATTTTCTCAAAACAGAAAAATAATAGAGAACTAATTAAAAGAGAATAAAATCAATCTTTGTGTAAAGTGAAGGTGGCAATTTTGAAGGGAAGATGATGACGCGTGCGGCGCACAGGCCAGCGCCCTGCGACAGCGGCAGTGTGTCCGTATCACTCTGACTTTGTTAACGATAATTACCATTTTTCAATAAATTTAGTTTTGGGGAAACAAGCGTATTATTTCACATTTGTATTTTTTATTCGAAGTATTGAAGAAATAATAAAGAGTTATTGTAATTATCTTGTAAATTTGTAAAGATTAAAAATAACTATCTAACCCAAATGTAAATCTTTATTTTTTTAAATAAATAAAATTATATTTTCGTATAAAATGTTATAATTTTTGATGTTTTTCGACTAGTTCTTAGAAAAAATTACAATCAAAAGTAAGCAATTACGCATTGATTATACAACCCATAAAACACAAAAGTAAATTTTAGTATACAAAATTTTTTCATGGTTGCATTAATCGTCCACCGAGGGCGCGCAATAAGGTTCTGTCTTTTTTGTTTTCATGGCCACTATGCAGAAACAGTTATCATGGAGAATGAAACGGCCTTATAAGCGCAGCTTGTTGATTCAGATGGCCTTGACTCGCCCATGGCCAACTTCATCTGTCTTCCGCTGGGATCCATACGGCCGTAACCGAGTCGTCATAGGCGTTCCTGAAATACATGTAATGTATTAACGCGTATATAACAGATGCAGAGTACTTTTAGGAACCAGTGTAAAGGATCAGTTTGTGTTTATATTCTGTTAATCTAAAAAAACTTAGTAATTGAAAACTTATTTAAAACTCGTTTACACAAAAAATGTACGCGTCTTATTTTTCATAAACTTACTCCTATATATAACTTATGAGTGCCATTCATATTAAATTGGATAATAGAAAACATTAACGCAATACTAAAATTATTATATGTGTGTACATATCGCGAGATGAAGTACATAGATTTGTTGTATAATAATTTAAAACAGAAACAGATTTATATAGATTCATGGAACACCATTATTATTATCGTTAACCACGTCTCTCCGATTACACACACGCTATAATATTTCGATTAAGATTAATTTGAAATAAATTCAAACTGATTCTTTTAAGGTTATCAACACTAAAGGTCGGATTTTTATAGGTCTTTGGGAAACATTGTTTTTATACATATTATTTTGTGTTTAAGTTTTTTTCTGTTTTCTTAATCCTAAAATAATTCGACCTATAGTTATCACACTATCAAATCAGGTTGATGTAGATCTCTTCTAAAATTTTWCGTTTATTCAATTTTTTTTAATACATGTCTATAAGCTGCTTCAAATCGTCCGTATCTRCTTTTCATAAGTTATATAGCCGTGTMGGTAAATAAAAAGTGTCAAGGTAACAACACGTTAATAATTAATTWAAAATGTCAAATGTCAAAAAATAAATGTTAAAATTTTCTGACCGATGGAATTTTTTAAATATTTTTTTCATGTTCCTAGTATCTTATCTTACTTGAAATTCTTCTCTGGGACGCGAGTTCTGACACACCTGTATATTAATTAATTATTAATAATTATTGTTATGTATAAGAATTTCTGGGTTAGTTTCAGTAATCATCTAGTTCCCAGCTGTTGTCATGTCATGAAATTGGTAGATCACAGTATGATTGCGAATAAACAATTTCCATGGAGAATTCTACATTTTAAACTTTTTGTTGTGATATTACAATTTGAAACCTGTTCGGTTAAAATCATTTTTATCTCTTAAATGCTATTTTTTTAATATTTCGCACTGATGAAAGATTAATTGTGATTCAACGTATATGCAGATATTATCAATTTATAATTTCACTTTCTTCGAATGTTTTGCTTTATATTTTTTTTACACAGCATCTTTGCCTGACCATGGTAGTTTGAACTAACCTTATGCTTATGCGGTTATATTTCTACAATTGGCTTTCAATTTAGCTTTGTTTTTAGGGGTAAAAACCTTCTATCAAATTATTGTTAAATCAAAAATTAGACTCATATGATTTTATTGATTTTTTAAATTGATGTATAATTTATAATTTAATTTATTTATAATTTTTTGTATATTGATTTAACGACTTTACATTCGTTGTTTTTAGTTATACGAAGCTAATTAATATGGGTTATACATTTGACTATTTCTCGCACTTAACATTCATTGTTTGCCTTTTACTCACTTTTAAAAATATATATCTTTAGTCTAGATTTCTTCACATTTCCAGGCTGTTAATATTCTGTTACATAACAAAATGATCTGGTTATATTTACATTTATTTTTATTTATATCTATTGTTTCTATGTAACAAAGTACAATGTTTCTGTGATGTGGATGTAATCTAACATCAGCCATCCACTGCGATAATCTGTAATTCTAATAGATGTGCAATCTTCAAAAACAATAAAACTTTACAACTGAAATTATAACATGTAGGCAATTCAGAATTTTATTTTGGAATTGTATCTCTGGAGTACAATTTTAGTTAACAACACTCCAACTGTCTTCTTAGGTTGTACATTAAATATTAATGAAAATAATACTTTATACCTAGGGACTTTTCTATCGCCACTTTTGTCACTTTTCACAATGTTTTTTCTATTATACGAAATAGTGGAGCCTTTTAGCCTAAATTTTGTGAGTTGGAACGGACATTTCTCTTTTACACAGAAATCAAATTTCTGTAGCCTATTTCATCTCAAAATACGCAGTTGTGACGTTACCAGTGTAGCGATAGAAATATCCAGACGTTTATATTTGTGTATAACTAGTGTGATGGTTTACATCTATTTTTTAGTTATCATACCGTTTATATTAGCTCGTGATAATGAACTTTTATTACAAGTGTATTGTCTTTTATTACTCACACATTTTGTTTTTCGTATTCTTTGTAAAAATATTTACAAACAATAGTTGTCTGACAACAGAAAGTGTTTTTAGAAACTATTGTTGTGAATATTTGTAAAGAATATGGAAAATTAAATACAAATTTAAAAAAAAAATAATTATGGGCTATTCAAATCGCCCGCGCTAACTGTTAGTACAGGCAGTCAACAAGAGATGTGCTAAGTGTAACTTTCGCTCGGTCGCAATAAGGACAGATGCGTTTCTGTTTATCTCTGTTGTTCTGTGGCCGTAACACAAGGATGGTAGACGTAAAGGATTGCTCAGGCTCACGAATCTGTCACGTGGTCCATGCTGTGACGTCACAACTGGTCTTTAATCGCGTCAAATAAAGTTCATAGACTTCAAGAAGGATATCGATAGGCGGAGCCAATGCGAACTCGGTGTAGTGGGGAAACTTCAGCAGTGGCGTAACACAGAACCATTCTGTGAACAAAAGGGAATTGTAGAGTTGCATTTTTTTTTCGTATATTTATTGACTGTGATATTAAATATAAAAAATTCATAGGATGCTCCACGATTATTTCAAAATACGGTGATATTAATTTCTGTATAAATAAAATACGAACAAACAGTAACGAATAGATTCGTTTATTAAAAATGTAAACATATTAAAAAACAATTTTTGTATCATAATTAATTTTAATTAATTTTTCAAAGTTAACATTTATAAGATGCCCCTGTTAATAAGTAGGTATATTAAACATTTTTTAGTGATGTTTTGTTTTTATACCTAGTCTATTGACTATATAAGAAGATGAACCCTCAAATTCTTAGCGACCAATCAATGACTCTTGTAATAAAAAAAATATATTAAAGAATTTTTTGTATTATCGACTTACTTCAAATCTCGGATTTTTAATTTGTCAAATTATATCACTATCTCATAATCTTTAGACCTCATAATTTTGTTTCATTTTTGTCAATGTTTTAATTTTCGTTTGAAAGATATGAAAAAAAGTTTAGGCCCATACATCAAATCGAAAACTTTACAGTAGATTTCACAACATTATATTGCCGCAAGTACAAAGTTATCAAGTTATTATGTATATATATATACAGGATATTCCGTTTTTATTGTTACAAGTTAAATTTTAAGACAAAAGTTTTCTATAAACATGTGTTGAGAAATACTATGTAAAAAAGCAATACCTGAAACGGGTGCGTTTTTAATAGGTTTTTAAATTACAACGTTTGGTATAGCTGGTAACCTTTACACCTAAACGAGATAATTAAAGATCAAATGTATACCTTAAAAAATGTGAGTACCTATAGAAATCGATTTATTTCTTGGAGTTATTGCATTGTGTTTTGTATTAGCTTTTTATCATTTTTGTCAAACAAAAGTGTCTATTAAATTGAAAGAGTTGAAAGTATAACTCTAATATCAGTTAGTGTTTCAAAAGTTATTTAACTTGCTTAGATGCCTTAAAAATGTTATTTATTAATAAAGTAATAAAATATTTTTATTACAGTATGTGGATTATTTGTTTTCCTCGAATAAATAAGTGCGAATACACGCCACTGCTCTCAGCTGATTTCAGAACTCCCCTATATTTACGAATGGAGTCGTCCGCGACGAGTTTTCGTCTTTACGCATCCCTTCCATCGATATCCTTTTTGGTTTCTATGAACTCTACATGGGAGTTAATAGGAGCAAATACCAAATAATGCAAATAAAAGTGAATTATGACATTAATTTGTTAAAATCGCTTTTGAATTTATAATGAAATTATTGTAGTTATAATTTGAGGTAATACAAAATAGAATTTTCTGTTTATTTGTGTCCAAAAATTGAGTAAATCTGTTTTCTAATCGGGGTAATCAGACGCAATAATTCCAATAATTCATTGTTCTCCATTTTAATGATATATAAGACATTAAGAATAGGAACAAATTTTTTACTTTTTATATTGACTAGTATTCTTTACGTTTTAAAATGCTCAAACAAAAATTATTTAGGTAATAAATAAATTGCCATTGAAATTTTTTGGTCACAAACTCGTGAAAATATCTATAATATTCCTAGGTATACATACAAAATAGAAACGGGTTTTATTTTTGACAATTTTATATACAATAAATTTTGTTGATAAATAATAATACAAAATTTAATAATGGATAATAGGTAAAAAAATCTAAAACAAAATAAACCATTTTTATAATAACTTTAAGACTTTAAAGAAGAAAGAAAAGAGCAAAACGACTTTCAACACAATATAAATTTTATTTCTTCAAATAAAACATTTGGTAGCTGCACTAAGCTTGAAGTTTGAAACCAGCGTAGGTACAATCAAAATTCAGTTAAATGATATCCCAAAAATTAAACAAAGATTAAATAGTTAATAGTTTGGCCGTAATCGCCGTTCAAAAAGTGAAAATTGTCAAAATTGTGAAACTTTAAACGCGTTTTTCTACGAAACTATAGAACTTCGAGCAAAAGGCTAAAAACCATTAAAATTAGCTTGAAATTATCTATTTATTGGCGCAAACCGGGAGTCGCTCCGGATTATGGTTCCGGGTACAGAGCCATTTTTAGTTTTTTTAAAAAAAAATTCATATCTCAAAAACTATGAGTCTTAGGTCAACAGGGTTTGTACAGGCGTGTTCTCCGGTTAATTTTACATATAGTACTAGTTTTTCATAAGAATAAAAAAAATTGATTTTTGTTCAAAATCGGATTTTTCTAGACTTATTCTTAACTTTATTACTCAATATCTCAAAAACTATGCATCGCAGAGTATTTTAACTTGTTTACGACTTTTATTAAATTGACTATTTTTACGATTTTACTACCGCTTACTTCAAAAACTCAAAAAATTCAAAAATTTTGAATCTTGACCCAATAAGATTTTATGCACTTATTTGAGTCTTTAAGACCTCTAGAAATGTAAAAAACGTAAAATAGATCAATTTTAAAGATTTTTTTTTTTTAATTTTTGTCGAGATTTTGGTCGATTTTTGGCACCCGGAGCGGTCTAATGGCGATAACTCCGGACTTATTAGAGATAACCTCTTATATTTGGTACCGTTAGATAGAAAATTAAATTTTCTGACATATATTAAAAATTTCAGTGCTCTACGATGAATAGTTATCGAGAAAATTTCTGATAAATTCTTGGATCTAGGAAACGGAGTAGGGAAAAAACAGCATTGACACCAAGATTTTTATTAATGTAATCACTGGTCTTTTGTGACAAAAATATATAAACATCAACAACATAATTATGTACAATTTGGCGATGGCGATCCGTTCAACAGTTTTTGGCAAGTAATAATCATGAAAAGGTCATTTTTCCATCTATCTATTTCGAAAACTTGTAATTGCGTCTTGTAAATGCCGCAACGGATGCGGTGACAGCCAAATCAAAGAAAAATTTTTTGATTTCCCCATCCGGAATGACTAGTCGACACAATTTAAAGTGAAAACAAGAAAAAATTTAGCTAAAGTGTGGATCAAATGTGCGAAATGATACTAGACTAGAAGAATCTCAATTAAACCAATTTCTTGATTTCGTCGTAAAGTACAAGAACGATGGCGCCGCCAGTACCGCGGAGGACGTTGGAGAAGGCCCCCTTGAAGAAGGCGGCGGTGCCCTCGGTCTTGGCGATGGTGGCCCAGCAATGGATGGTGTTTTTGTAGATGATTTCGGTCTTCTTTCTCCCGGATTGCATCATCATGCGTCGGCGGACGGTGTCGAAGGGGTAGGAGACGATACCAGCGATGGTGGTCACAGTCTGCAATTTTACCATTAATAAATACCATCTGACGCAATTTGCCCATTTACCTGGGCAATAGCCCATGAAATGAGAAGAGGGGTGTTCTTGGGGTCGGGCAAAACGCCCTTGGCTGTGTCGTAGAAGCCGAAGAAGGCGGCACGGTAGATGATGATGCCTTGGACGGAGACTCCGAAACCGCGGTACAAACCGATCAAGCCATCAGCTTTGAAGATTTTCACCAAACAATTGCCCAAACCGCTGAATTCGCGCTCGGCGCCCGCCTTGCCCACATCGGCGGCTAATCTACAAGAAAAATCAATATACAGGGTGTGTCAAGCAAGATTAGATACCAAGAACATGGGAAAAATGTTTAAAGAAAAATTGGTAATTTTTACAAAATACAAGTCGATTCGGCTAAGATGACAAGTCTAAGTGAAATGTTTTTTTTGTGTAAGTGTTGTTTTCAACTATCTAAAAACCAAAAATTAGCCATCTTATCTAAATCACCCTACATCTCTTATTTTCGTTCAATTTCGTAAATCAAATTTTATACTTTACAAGATATAAAATAACGACGTCTCCAATTTCAGAAAAATTTATCAAAAAATTGACAATATAGAAGACAATTCAGCTAAGTCTAAACGACATTGTTTTAATTGTGTCTAAAATATCACGATTTCTTTTGTATAAAAATGATTTTCAACTATTCAAAAACCAACATTAGCCATCTTATTGGAATCATCCTATGTCTCCTATTTTTGTTCGATTTCACAAATTTTGAACTTTACCAGACATTAAATAGTGAATTTTCAAACAGACGACAATGTTTTGAATTTAAACAAACCCAATTACAAATTAATATTTCCAAAATTGGTAATTTTTACAATGTACAGGTCGATTCAGCTAAGATGACAAGTCTAAGTAAAATGTTCTACTTTTTTTCCAAAATTACACCTTTTTTCGTATAAGAGTTATTTTCAACTATCTAAAAACCAAAAATTGGCCATCTTATCTTAATCACCCTATATCTCCTATTTCCATTCGATTTTATAATCGTTAAACTTTACAAAATATAAATGGCGAGTTTTGAAACAGAAGACAATTTCTTGAACTTAAATTAATCTAATTTCAGAATAATATTTGCAATAATTGATAATTTTTACAATATACAAGATGATTCAACTAAGACGACACAATTCTAAACGAAATTTTTTATTTTTGTCTAAAATTTTACCTGAATCACTCTATATCTCTTATTTTCGTTCGATTTCCTAAATTTTATACTTTACAATATATAAAATAACGAATTTCAAAAATTTTCCAAAAATTGAAGATTTTTTTACAATATAGAAGACAATTCAGCTAAGTCCAAACGACATTGTTTTAATTGAAGGGGTGAGTTGATAAAGGTGTTATGTAACATTTTTTTTGAAAACTGGTTTTTCTTTTTTTTTTTCTTTCAAAACAATTTTTTTCGCAATATTCTTTTATTGAAAAAGACTTTTAAGTGTTAGTTTCTATTAGAAATGAAATTACCAAATGCTAAAGGCCTTGTGTACAACTTGTATTGTTGTATTGTGTATAAAGGTCTTAAAATATGTTTCAATAAATAATAAATAAATAAATAAATAAATAATAATAAATAAATATTTAAAAAAAGCACAAATAACACTATTTTCACTTAATTCAATTACTTTCCGACGTATTCTTGACAAAATTTTGCGAAATAATTGCGTTTTTTATTGAAAAACGTTTTAAACGCTCGAAAAGAGAATAAATTATGTCGTTTTTTATTTAGTCTGGTATATGTATTAATTTTGGGTATGTTTTTAGCAAAAATTAAAGAAAAAACCTTGTTTTAGTCTTAAAAATGTAACTACATGTTTGAAAAAAACAAAAGTAACATCATTTTCAAATTAATTATGTGATTTTTCGGTTTATTTTTGACGAAGTTTTGTGCTTTTGATTGAGAAATCTGCTAAAACGTTTGGAAAAGCAACCAGATGATTTTTTTTCGGTTCAAAAACGTGCTTAAACTCTTCAAAGAAGCAAAAAATAATTTTAGTTTCGTGATAGTTTTTTACCTCATTTTCGACGAAAATTTGCAATTCTGACTAAAAAAACGCCCTAAATCGGAAAAATGGTATTTTTTTTTTTATATTTAGCAAAACCTAAAAAAGTAAAAATAACACCATTTTTGTGTAAATTTAGCGATTTGTGACAAAATTTTGTAAATTGTTAATTGAAAAACGTGCTAAAACGCCCAAAAAAATCATAAATAAGGTCAGTTTCAACCCAGTTTGGTAATTTTGCAATATATTTTAACAAAATCTTACAAAAAAACGTCGTTGGATTGTGTCTAAAATTTTGTATAATAATGATTTTCAACTATTCAAAAACCAACATTAGCCATCTTACTGGAATCACCCTCTATCTCCTATTTTGTTCGATTTCGTAAATTTTGAACTTTACAAGACATAAAATAGCGAATTTGAAACAGAAGACGTTTTGAATTTAAACAAACCCAATTACAAAATAATATTGGCAAAATTAGTAATTTTTACATCATGTATTCATCGAACTAAATTTAAAATTAGCATCGAAACAACGCGGCCAAAGTCAAACTAAAATTAGAGCGTTTTATTACTCAATCTTGCTATGTTAAAAGTGACATGACGTGGCGTATTAAAAAAATACAAAAATAATTAATTTTTCAAAAATACTCGTAAAAATGTGTTATTCACTAAAACTTATATACAGGCTGTTTTCCTAATATTTCCAAAACTCACAAGTACATATTCTACATCGAAAAATAACACTAATTTGTCAAATAAACTTTTTCTTACGAATATACAGCGTGATAATTAATAAAGTAAAAAAAAATTAACTTAATTAAATTTTACAGGCTTTGTGAGTCACTGAAAGCGCTTATTTTGCGACAATTATTTTTACTCTTACTGAATTTTTTAATTTAATTTTTTGTTAATGTTATTTTTCGTTGTAGAATACGTGATTTTTTGTAATATTAATGTAGTTATGTATTCAATATCAAAAAAGAAGATTTAAATAATGAAAGTACTTGAAGAATACCCAAGTTTTGACTTTTTTTGACTTTGAGTATCTTTTTTGTTAAATTCTGTTTACTCCCTCACACAAATCTTTATTTTTTGAGAGTGAACCTAAAGTAATGCACAAAATTCTTATTTTTATGTTGTGTTAATGTTAATTATTTCAAAAAAAGTCCATTGTGTATAAAAGCGTGTTAATAGACAAGATTATAAATTTTCTAATTAACAAACGTGTCAACAATTTTTTTTGCTATTTATTTTTAATAAATCTGGAGAAAATCAAAATTATAGTTCCTTGACTCCAATTTTTCCAAATTTCCAAGAAGATTTTTTAAGGAATTAAATCCCACTTTTTTCTATTAAATTTCTGATTAAAGTCTAAAATGGGATTAGATGCCAAGTGGGCCATATTTTGCAGTGGTGCAAACTTGCGAAAAAAAACTTGCCTAGTTCTGGCGAAATCTAGGGGATATACGAAGCAAAGTGAAGTGGCACCAGCAGCACCACCGGAAGCAAGATTTCCCATGAAATAGCGCCAAAATTGAGTTTTCTTATCAACACCACTCAAGAAAATCTGCTTGTATTTGTCTTTGAAGGCAAAGTTGAGGGCCTGCGTGGGGAAATAACGGATGACATTGGCCATATTACCACGCCAGTAGGCCAAAACACCTTGTTCTTTGGGGATACGAACAAAGCAATCGACCATTCCTAGGAAAAAAAAAACAAAAATTAAATACCATATTTTTTCTATTAATTACAAAATTTGCTTCGGTTTACATAACGGTATCACAAATAGCAAACTTCAGGATTTGGCACACACTTGACAAGGAGTGTCCATCAAAACTCAGTTTGACATAGGGTAAAGCCGGGAAAGGTGGACCAAAAATCGAAATTTTTGGTCAAATACAAAGTAACAGTGGTTTCACATATTAAAATAGAGAAAAACAGGAATCCTTAAATTTCTTATTTTTTTCAAGCTTTCCACTTTTCTGTTCTTTGTTTTAAGCTTGAAATTTCCAGTTCTACCTTCAAATTTGTTTTAAAATCTTTTATTTTCTAAGCGTTTAAGAGTGCATTTTCCAAAATTTCACAAAAAAATCGAAATATTTTACCAAAACCAATCAAAAAGTTACAATTTTTTTTGTGAAATACTTGGATTTAATTCAATTTAATAAAATTTAAGAATAGCAGAAGATTTTTTTTTGCTCTGTTTTTCGCTTTATTTTTACTTATTCCTTTTCTTTTAAATTAAGTTGACAAACCTAAACTTTTCAGTTTTTGAAATATCAGTTTTGTTACAGAAATACTTCAAAATTTACAATAATTAATCAATTTTGGTTAAATGCGATGCACTTTTTTTGATTAAAGATTTGCATTATTTTTATGGAATGATGAATTTTCGGTTCCCTAAAGAGAACTCAATAATACTTTGCAATGCATATTTTAATTTTTTAATTAATTTCAATCGATTATTATTGAAAGAAAGAGAAGGAGAATTATTGACTATTATTTTATTTTGTATTATTATATTTATATACAATTTTTTTTAATAAAAATACCAAAATAAAATTTAAGAATTATCTACCAGAAGAATTTGTTTGCTTTTTTGCTCTGTTTTTCGCTTTATTTCCACTTATTCTCTTCCTTTTAAATGTAAGTTGACAAACCTAAACTTTTCAGATTTTGAAACATCAATTTTCTTAAAGAAATATTTCAAAATTTACAATAATTAATCAATTTTGGTTAAATGCGATGCAAATTCTACTTTTTTTAATTAAAGATTTGCATTATTTTTATGGAATGATGAATTTTCAGTTCCCCAAAGAAAACTTAATAATATTTAACAATGTATATTGCAAATGTTTTGTCAAAACTGAAACTTGAAAGCTTGCTTTTCTATTTTTTTTAAATTTAGTAATTCCACTTTTGTGGAATTAATTAAATTCTATATTTTTTCTATTAATAACAAAATTTGCTTCGTTTTACATAATTGTTTCACGTGCAGTTGTTGGCAAAAGGCAAATTTCGGAATTTGGCACCTTGACAAGGAGTGTCCATCAAAACTTAGTTTGACATAGGGTAAACTCGGGAAAGGTGGACCAAAAATTGAAATTTTCGGTCAATTACGAAGCTATACCATTCACAGTAGTTTTACATATTGTAAAGTTTAGAAATTTAAAAATGTAATTTTTTTAAACTTTGACGCAGAGAAACAGAAATCTTGAAATTTGTTTATTTTTTTTCACCCTTAATTTTTTTGTTGTAAAACTTTGTTTGATTGTAACAAATTTCATTTCCGTTCTTAAACTTTAAATTTCCTCTTTCAAACCTCATTTCTTTAAATTCTTACATTCAGCAGAATTCTGCTTTCTAGGCCTCGAAATTTCTGTCCTTGAACTCAAAATTCTCTTTATGAAGAAGCTTAAATTTCCCAAATTTCTACTTTTAGAGGCACAATTCGTTATTACATTTCAAATTTTGAACTGGTTTTTACTGTCTTTTCTGTAATTCAACCAAACAAACAAATTTAAACTTCAATAATTCCACTTTCCTGATGAGAATTGGACCAACAAAAAATGATGAAAATTTCTCTATTTCAAATTTGTTTTACAAGAAATTCTGATTACTAAATTACAACTTGTCTATAATAAGATTATTTTCTCTTAATTTTCCAAATTTAATATTCTAAATTGTATTCTAAAACTTGTTATTCTAATTTTGAAGCCGAGAATGAAGTTATTATAATTTTAAACTCTTTTTTTTTTTTCAGTTATAACTAGTCTAAATCACAATCACAAATTAGCAGTAAGTTTAAAGAAATTAAAGAAAGAAATTAAAGGGTGCTCGCGCGGCTTTGCCGCTCGTCCCCGTCTAGAACACTATCTGACTTGCAAATGATTTGTCAAAATAAAAAAAATAAAACTCGATTGGAATTTGACGTTAAATTCCAAAATCTTAACAAAAAATGTGAATAATGAAATATTTTTTTCTAATTTCTACTAGTTGCAACTTTGAATTCCAATTTTAAAGCTAAGAATTCTGTATTGAACTTTGCATTTCTAAAATTAACATGGTTTTGGCATTGAAACTCAGAATTTTGATCCTAGTTCATTAAAATCTTCAGTCCCTAATCAAAATTTCAGTTTATGAGCGTTTTTATCTATTCTTAACTTTCGAAAAGTTACAATTTCTAGAAACTGATCGCAAAAAAATATTTTTGTTAGCTAATTTAGATATTCAAAACGTAGAGAAAACGAAAAAACTGAAAATTTTTCGTTTCAAGATCTTGAATTTTCTGCTGAAAAACTTTTAGTGTATCTTAATGTTGTTTATTTTCGTAATTTGAAATTCTGCTTTCTAGGCCTCGAAATTTCTGTCCTTGAACTCAAAATCTTCTTTGTGAAGCTTAAGTTTCCCAAATTTCACCCTTCTACCTTCTACTTTATTCAAATTTTGAAATGGTTTTTAGTGTTTTTTCTGTATCTAACCAAACAAAAATTTTTAAAACTCCAATAATTCCACTTTCTTGATCAGAATTGGACCAACAAAAATTTTTCTATTTAAAATTTAGTTCTGATTAGGTACTAAATTAAAACTTGTCTATTACAAGATTATTTTCTCTTAATTTTCCAATTTTTAAATATTCTAAATTGTATTCGTCTTATTCTAATTTTGAAACCGAGAATGAAGTTATTATAATTTGAAACTCTTTTTTTTCAATTATAACTAGCCTAAAATTGGTTGCATAATCACAAATTAGCAGTAAGTTTACTAGTGTAGAAAGTAGAGATTAAAGGGGGCTGGCGGCTTTGCCGCTCGCCCCCGTCTAGAACTCACACTATCAGAATTTGTCGAAATTTATAGGGGTTGGCGGCTTTGCCGCTCGCTTTTGTATTTTTTTAAATTCTAGTAATTCCACTTTAATTGTCTTAAATTGGCTTTGAAAATGTGCTCCATCTCTCCCGGACTTACCCAACTTATGAACCGCATTAAATTACAATAATGAAATTGGGACGTTCCGATTTAGAACAGTGCAAAATTTATTTTTAAAATCCAAAAATAAGTTTGGTTACATAACAAACTTTTCCACGAATTTAACACATTTCGCCTCCAAATTTTTTGGTGTCAATTTCTCGTTTTACCTTTGTAGCGTTGGTCCGCAGAAATCTGTTTGGAGATGTGTTGGACTTGCAGAAGCAGTTTGACACGTTCAATGGGGGCCACACATGTCTTGGAAACGGCGGCGGAAATTCCTCCAGCGAGGAAATCCTTCATGAAGGCGACGGGATCGGCGAGAGACATTTTTCCCACTTAATGAATTAATTAAAATTTAATTAAAACTTGTGACTTGTGAACGGATCGCGCACTTGACTGCAAGTGATTCCCGGAGCTAAGAAGTGGTTATGATACGGCATGGGTCATGTGCTTTCCCGGGCATCCGAGCCCAAAATACACCGTTTTTACGTCACGAAACGCTCCTGAYTACGTCASAAAAGGAGGACTTTTTGCTCGCGGCCTTCAAAACACGAATTTAGATGTGCGAAAGGTAAAGGACGAAGAGTCAAGTTTGTTTTCATTGAACTATGGGTRTTATCGAGTGTGCTTTGGTGCAGTTTGCACGTGGCGTTATGTCATTGTCTCGCCGGAAATAGAATAGAGAGCATCAAGGTTGCCATTTTAACACACGTGAAGGTGTGGAAMTAACTGATTTTGTTTAATTYGTGCAGTCGGTAGGAGAAAAAATATCAAATATTATTTGGTTGAAACAATTAACTAGCAATTTCATTACAAATTAATGCATTTGTTTGTTTGAAAGTATAAGAAATTTAATTTAAAATGTGCCACTTCTGTCGCTCAAGCATATTTTCGTCATAACCACATTTAAATTTAATAATAACAAAATAAAAAAAATATTAGAAAAAGTTGATTTTGTTTGAATGGTGCAGTCAGTAGGATCACAAAACTTAATAAATGGAAAAAAATCTTATTTTGATTAAAATAAACATAAAAAAACAATTTAGTAAGAATTTTTAAACAAATAACTACTTTCATCACTTAGAAAAACACATTTCAATCGATCAGTGATAAAATTATTAACAATTTTGCCAATAAAAATTTATTTTGATTAATTGGCGCAGTCGGTAGGATTTAAGAAATCTTTTGTTTGAATATTATTTGTTTCTTACTTGTTGAAACCGTCATTAATACTTTTATTAAAGTTTAATTTATCAAAATTAAGATATTTTATTTTTAATTTTCCCTTTTTACCATTTTAGCTGTTTGTATAATGTTTCTCCGGTGTCTAATATTCATGTAAATTCTGATTTAATAATAACAATTATCAAAAAAGTTGATTTTGTTTAATTGGTGCAGTTAGTAGGATCAGAAAAATCAATAAATTTAGCTTTCTATGGACAAATTATTGTTTTTACCTGTTTGAAAAAATTAGTTAACAATTTTATTAAATTAAAGGCTCATTTTGAGTAAAATATGAGATTTATTTGAGATTTTTGCCAATTTAGAAATAAAATATATAAAAAAATATTTAGAGAGAATTTTTAAAACAAAGTATCTTTTTTACCACATGTAAACATATATTTAACCTACAGTTGTATTCAAATTGAGCAGAAATAAAATTGTGAACAATACTTTTGACAATAAAAAAATATATGTTTAATTGGCGCAGTCGGTAGGATTATTAAAGTCAATAAATTTAGCTGTTTTTAAACCAAATTTTTATTTCTTGAACAAATTTATTATTTAATTAATTAACTAATTTGTAAGACTATTATTATTCTAAATTCTCCATTTTTTTGAGTAAAAAACTAAACAAAATTTTTAAGCCAAAATTTGTAGTTTTGGGTTTGATATTTATGTAAATTGTTATTTTTTGCTAAAATATTTTTTAATTTTTTTAAATCCATTTATTAACTAACGGTTTTAATAACTCTACTAGTTATTTAGTTATTAACTTAGTTGGAAAATTTCTACAAGTTAAAGTTAGTTTAGTTTTCGTTTAATTGGGAAATCAAGAAAAAAAAATTGGAAAAAGGGAAAATTTTTAGAATTTGCATTTAGATTATTTGGAATATTAGAGCGTTGTATTATCGAAACTTGGAATCGTAAATTTTGTAATTATTATTAGAGTTTAGAAATCTTACATTAGGAAGTTCAGTTAAGGTCTCATTTTTTTAGAAATCGAAAATTTATTATTTATATTTATAAATTTATATTATTATTATTTATTAATTGATTTTATAATAAATCTTTTATTTAAAAATTCATTGGGAGATGAAACTTTTGGTACTTTTATTTCTCTTTTTTTTATAGGTATAAAGAAAAACAAAAATTTTAACGGTTTACGTCTTTGGGTGTTTTCAACTAGTTTTTATTTTTACTTTTGTCTGTTGCTTGTGTTTCGAGGTTCTTTTATTTTACTATTATTCTTTTTTGATCTCCATATTCTTTACTTTTTAAGTTTGCGTTTGAGCTACTTAACTACATTTTGAAAAACCTTCTTTAAAATTATTTTTACTTCAACTTAAACCACGAATATTTTATGTTAAGACACTATAACAGTAACAAAAAATAAAAAAACCCAAACGTTTTAAGCAAAAAATCGACGTTATGAAAATTTCAACCAATGTCTATCTTTCTTAAATAATTTTGTAGTTTTACTAGTATTTTTAGTAGTATACGAGAGGAAAAAAACTGGAGACAATTTCGTAATAGCTTTATTAAAGAGAGATTCAGAATCACAATAAATCCACAACTAGACGACACTTATTTCGGGCTAATTATGTATAATACAATACAGGGGGGATGTTAATTGTCTATTTTATTGTACAAAACACCACAAACGAAAACTACAAAAGCAAAATGCACTCAAAAAAATRTCAATCACAGTTTGACCTTTCATAGTTTCCAGTACATAATTTTTTCATCTAGTTGTGTTAATTAACATCAATTTAAATAAACATACAAAAATATATTCCTAAGATTAAAACTCAGCACAATATTTATTAAATAATACTCCAAAAATTGGAATGAAGCAGCTTGTATACAGGATGCGCCAGAACTAGCGCCCCAGAAAAAATTTTCAAGTAAGGTTTTTTAATGATACTGATGATCTTGTATATGTTTTTTTTTACAATTATTTAGTATTTTTTTACCATTTTTTCCCTGTTCCTGGTATCTTATCATATATGTATGGKATTTTTCTCAGGGGCGCGAGTTCTGACGCACCCTGTATTTGCAAGAAAAATATCAGTTTCTGTATTGTCACACTGCATTAAATGCGTTCCATGGAATGATACAAGAGTATTAACAATTTTTAAATAATTTCAATTTTTAAATGCTCAACTTCAAACATAAATCAACAAGAAACACTAATAGACATTCATCTCATGTTTTTATACAAATGCTACCATTTTAGTTAATTTTTATTTCAAGAAATCAACAATAATTCCAGCAAACTAAAGTGCAAATACGAAATCCGTGTCTGTAGAAAAAATTATTATTGACTTCTTGTGAAGACCTGAGGTGGTTTTGTGATAAATGAGCACATTTAGAGATTTCTTATATGACGTGACCTTCTGACTAGAATACAGCTCGAAGTCAAACCACACGAAGCTTTCGCTAATTGCGAAATATTCACCGATCGGCGAGGATAATCGATCTTTTCACTAAAAACCTGAAAAATTAGAAAATAGTATATTATATCACAACGAGAGAAGGGAGTTTTATAGCCGAGAGGCGAAATAAACAATTCGAGGCTTTAAAAATCTCCTCCCGTGTTTCATATAATATTTTTTCCACTACTAGCGCATTATTACCAACTTATCTTGGTAAGTATTATTTTATTTATCGTAAATCAGGTTATGTCACAACCTCGTGACAAACTAATTTTTTTTTATTAATAATTAAAAATTTATATTGATTAATTGGCGCAGTCGGTAGGATTAAAAAATTCTTTTGTTTAAAATATTATTTGTTTCTTACTTGTTGAAACCGTCATGAATACTTTTATTAAAGTCTAATTTATCAAATTAAGATATTGTATTTTAAATTTTTACTTTTTACTATTTTAGCTGTTTGTATAATATTCATGTAAATTCTGATTTAATAATCACAATCAACAAAAAGTTTGGTGCAGTTAGTAGGAACTGAAAAATCAATAAATTTAGTTCTCTTTGGACAAATTATTGTTTTTACATGTTTCAAAAAATTAGTTAACAATTAAAGGCTTATTTTGACTAAAATAGCACATTCTATTTGAGATTTTTGGCAATTTACAAATAAAATATTAAAAAAATATATTTAGAGAGAATTTTTAAAACAAAGTATCTTTTTTACCACATGTAAACATATATTTAACCTACAGTTGTATTGAGCAGAAATAAAATTGTGAACAATACTTTTGACAATAAAAAAATATATGTTTAATTGGCGCAGTCGGTAGGATTATTAAAGTCAATAAATTTAGCTGTTTTTAAACCAAATTTTTATTTCTTGAACAAATTAATTAATTAATTAATTAACTAATTTGTAAGACTATTATTATTTTAAAATTCTCCATTTTTTGAGTAAAAAACTAAATAAAATTTCAATTTTTAAGCCAAAATTTGTAGTGTTCGGTTTGATATTTATGTAAATTGTTATTTTTTGCTAAAATATTTTTTAATTTTTTTAAATACATTTATTAACTAACGATTTTAATAACTCTACTAGTTATTTAGTTATTTAGCTTGGTTGGAAAATTTCTACAAGTTCAAAAGTACAAGTTAAAGTTAGTTTAGTTTTCGTTTAATTCGAAAATCAAGAAATTTATAAAATTCAGAAATATTTTGTGAATTTTTTTAGAATTTGCATTTAGATTATTTTGAATCTTTATCCAAACTTCGAATTGTAAATTTTGTCATTGTTATTAGAGTTTAGAAATCTTACATTAGGAAGTTCAGTTAAGGTTTCTTATTTTTTTAGAAATAAAAAATTGAATATTAATTGATTTTATGCTAAATCTGAAATGTTTTAAGCAAAAAAATCGAAAATATCGAAACTAATTTATCTAAAAATTTCATTGGGAGATGAAGCTTTTGGTGCTTTTATTTCTCATTTTTTTAATAAGTATAAAAAAATCTTCTCCCATGTTTTATATAATATTTTTTCCACTACTAGCGCATTATTACCAACTTAAGTTGGTAAGTATTATTTTATACTTATCGTAAATGAGGTTATGTCATTTTTTTACTTCTGCATCTAATAAAAAAAATCTGATTATATAATATGTTAAAATTATAATGTTAAAATAACATAAAAAATGCAAAAAAAGGGAAAAAGTGTCAAACTTTCCCTTACTAAGTAATATTTCAACGTGAAATAACCCCATTTGTTGTATTGACAGTTTTGACAAAGACAGAAGAATTAGAGATGGGCTTATTTAAGTTTTAAATAATATTTTTATCAATGTAATACAATCCAAAATCGGTATTTAATAATAATAAAAGTGATTATTGACCACTAGGAGAGAAAAACAACTTCACAACCTCGCGACAAATTAAAAAATTGCATTTTTTGCGACTAGTAGTAAAAAATCTATTATACAAGGTGTTAAAAAAWGATTGTAAGATATTACAATCTTTTTTAAGCACCCTGTAGAATTGAATTACTTTAAACGAATGTGGAATTTCGTCGATGCTGCGATGTACCAGTGTTCCATTCAAATACAAAACATTTGCTGCATCGTCTTCTGGTAAAGTCAGCGTTTGGTAGCTGAAAGTGGCTTCACGTTCCATTCGTTTTAACACTTCTTGTGCTTCTTTTCCGGCTCCAACACACAGCAAATCTGGCCCCCCGACCGTTATGTAAGTTTTTAGGTGTTTGGGGTCTGGCACCTGGTGGGAATCGACGGCTATTATATTGGGTTAGAGGTGGGTGCGGGCTAAGCGGCTTTAACGGGCTTTTGTGAAAGCAGTTTTGAAGCTTTGTGCACAATTTCATACAATTTCAATGCGTTTAAATGCTTACAAATTAAAAAAAAATGCAATTGAAAAAATAATAATAATAAAAAATTGGAAACTTAAAAAATGTACTTCTAAAAGTGAATAAAACGATGTAAAATAGTTTTATAACTTTTTTTTGTATGAATAAATATTTTGGATTACAGCAGAGACACTGGCCGGGGGCGTGGGAGCGCAGTAACTTACAGATTATAAAAAGCATCAAAGCTTTTTTATCTTAAAATCAATTTTTTATTTTTTTAAATTGTTTTTTTTTCTTATTTTGTAAATTTCGGCTAAAGTGTATTGAAAATGACATATTTTAAACGATTCGTATGTAACGTGTTTCGGAAAATCGATTAGCGTCAAGAAAACCGGTAAATTCCTAATAGTTTAGAAGTTGTAGTCGAGTTTAGATTTTGACTCTGCGCCACTACGCCCCCGGCCAGTGTCTCTGCTCTAATCCAATATATTACAAACTTATGTTTTTGGTATTTTTGGATGTAGTTTTTAATTTCAATCATTTTTAACAAAACTTTTATTGATCGATTTTGCTTAGTTTTTAAAATATTTTGATTTCTTTGACGAAAACACACTTTTTAAAAAAAATTATTACAAAAAAACTAAATTTCCACAACTTTCAACTACAGGACTACAATATCTTAGGCAGATTCCAATCATAAAGGTGACAATAAGAAGTTTGTTAAAAATTAAATAATTAAAAAAAATAAATAGAATATCTTATTATTATTTTTTGGCACCCTATAGATTTATAAATTGTTTTTTCAGTGTAAAATAAATGTGATTATTGAGTGATATTTCTTCTATTTCTTGTGCAACTGTGAACTTTTAGGCTACTGAAACAACAGTTAATTTTTTTGATGTTTAAAGTTGAATATCTTTTTATTTATCAATTCTAGGCATTTTTTTTCAAATTAACAGAAAATAAAAGTACCTACAAAATTTCATTAGAGACCATTTTGAAAATTTTAATAAAGTGAATTTATGTTTTTAGATAGACAAATTTAATAATCTATTAAAACAACATCATTTAAAAAAACCTTAGTTTGTATTGTAACTTATTTTTGAAACCCCTTTTACATTTGAAAATAATTTGAGGTGGCGCAAGAAGTTCATATACAGTGTGAAAAAAAATAAAACCCAGCTGCTTTTTGGTTTGCTTTCTGAAAATAATAATAATGTTGTAAAAATGTAAAAATGCAGATTAAGTTTTTAAACGATTTTTTTCAAAATGTTATCTTATATATACATATAGGGTGTAAAATAAAGATTGTAAAATATTTCAGAAGGTATGGACCAAAACAAATAATAAACATTATTCGTTTTTTGAAACATTTAACAAAAGAGTAAAAATTCTAAAAATTTTCACATTCGATATTTCCGAAATTGTTACTTTGCGGACCCATGTTTATTAAGACTTTTTTGTTTATTTTGGTCCACACCTCTTTAAATATTTTTACAATCTTTTTTTAACACCCTGTTTATTTTTTCCACAAAAATTGAGTCAAATGTAGATAGTTGTAATCCTTAGATCACAGCCTTTATAAAAGAAAGCTTTTATAGTGAGTGCCATTAAAAAAAAACAAAAAAGGAAAAATTTTAATCTTGAGAAACATCACATTTTTATAGCACTTTATTAGTTTTTCCAAAAATAAATAGTTTTRCATACTTTCTCTTCGAATTTTTTTGAATATTTTAACACTTAAACATTAATTTCACCAAATTGCTGAGACACCCAGTATATAATTTTTTAATACGAAATTCCTCAAAACATCAAAACATTTCATTTCATCACACTTSGAATTATTTTACTTTAAAGTTTTCTAGTAAACAGCAAAATGAAAATAAACAAAAATTTTCTCTTTCCTTATGTTTCTTGAACTAGGAAGCATATTTTTAGATATATTTGTTTTGATAATCATCACGTTTAAAATCTGAAACCTTGAAGTTAACCAAGTTTTCCTCGCTTTTGTTGCAAAAAAATTCATAATGCGTAACAAAATGTGACACATTAGATAAACCGATGAATAATTTTATTATTATTATCGTCACATCAATGCAACAATGAATATTTTATTACTTGCTATTAAATAAGTTTAAAAAAAAATTGTGTTTGGTGCCCAGAAAAGCGCGCTCACCTGCACCAGCCCTTGCTTGAGGTCACAAAGACCAAGACTCTCTGGTTTTACCTTGATGGGTGTGCATGGGTACTCTGGGAAGGCCGCCGCCACCGCCCTAGCCCCCGCCTCATTGGTCCATTGCGAGATACCCACGAAAAACTCCCTTCCTAAAACGCCACTATCGATTAACTTAATGTCATTTCTGATATTTGACTCACTTACCAGTGAATAAAACATCACTACCGTCGAGTTTCGCGTTCGAATCGGACATTTCGATTATCGGAAGATCGAGCTCTTTTTTTAAGACCACTCTAATTGTCTCCACCTGCAACAAGTTTCGGTTTTTATTCAAAAAAAAACAGAGAAAAACAAATGAGAAAATGGAGCACTGAGACAATAAAGAATATATAGGAGAAAAACTAAAAATAAATAATAAAGAACGAAAAAAAAAAACAGAAAGAACGGGTCCTTTATTTTTTAATTGTTTCAAAAATTAGGTCAAAATTTTAACAAGATAATGCTCAAAAACCATCTAGTGAAACAAACAAAATAACTTCACTTTTAGTTCATTTTGTGTGAAGGCAAGATTTTGCAAAAAAATTATCCTCTGATTCAAAAACGAAGTAATTCGATCAAAACAAGCTAAAAATAACATCAATTTTGATTGATTTTGTAATTTTTTTTATCTTAAAAATGCACTTAAACACACGACAATGGCAAAAATTACGTCATTTTTTGCCTATTTTGTTGAATTTTTGGCTTGTTTTTGCGAAATAATTGTTTTCAGCGTTTGAAAAAAAAACAAAAATAAATTGTCTTTTTCGATTCTGTTAGTAAAATGTCATAAAAACAAATAGAACTTTTTTTTAACTCATTTGAGGATTTTTCGATTTTTTTTGAGAAAATTTGACGAAATAATCAAATTAAAGCTTAAGAATTGGATAAAAATATAGTATTTTTTTAGAGTTTAGTGATATAAATAATTTTCGTAATTCCAAAATAATTCCTGTAATTCCAATAGTTCTAAGAAATTCAACGTAATTTTCAAAAAAAATTATTTCCGATAATACTTTCCAAAAATAGTTCCAAAACTCCAAAAAAATCCACCAAAATTCCAGTAATTTGAAAAAGACTATCTTTAATAATATTTTTCAAAAAGAATTCCAGAATTTCAGTAAAATTCCACCGAAATTCCAATAATTTCCATAGTTTAGTTCTAAGAAATTCAATGGAATTTACAAAAAAAATCCACCAAAATTCTAAAAATTTCCATTGTTTTCAGATTGATTATATTCCTATAATTCCAAATTAATTTTAGTAATTCCAAAATAATTCCTGTAATTTCAAATTAATTCCGATAGTTCTAAGAAATTCAATGTAATTTTCAAAAAAAAATTATTTCCGATAATACTTTCCGTACTTTTACAGTTTAGTGATTTTTGACTGGCTATGACAAAATCTGGCAAAGAATTTTTCAGCTTAAAATTCTGCTTAAATTCTCGAAAAAGGCAAAGTGTCAATATTTTTAGCCTAATTCTGTGGTTTGTCTGTTTTTAAAAAAAAATTGCCAAATAATTGCGTTTCTAGCTCAAAAACGTGCGAAATGCAAAAATACTCGTAATGTAATTTTCGACTTAATTTGTTGATTTTTTAGTTCGTTTTAGCAAAAACTGAGATTTTAGTACAAAAAATTGTCGACCAAATTTTGTGGTTTCTCGCCTTGTTTTTGTGCTTTTGCTCAAAAACCAGTTAAATTAATCAATTTAATTCTTTTTGTGATTTTTAGGCGTGTTTGGACAAGATTTTGCAAAATAAAAAAAAATCTGACTCAAAAACACAGTAATTCGACCGAAACAAGCCAAAAATAACATCAATTTCGACTTAGTTTTATATTTATTTTGCTTTTTTAAACGAAATTTAGAATTTTCTTCTTATTTTATCGAAACCTCGAAGAGGGCAAAAATAATGCTGTTTTTGCTTTATTTCGTTGAATTTTTGGCTTGCTTTTAACAAAATTTTGGGGAATAATTGAGTTTCTAACTGAAAAAGCATTCGAAAAAGACACAATTTTTAAATGTCGGACAAACAAATAAAACTATTTTTAATCAATTTGGCGGTTTTTCGACTTTTTTGAAAAAAATTGATGAAATAATCCAGTTTCTGGTTGAAATACATGGAAAAGGCTTAAAATAGATGTAATTATCTATTTTTCAACAGTTTTTTTCCAAAAATCTGGTGAAATTTCAATCAGAATCGATGCAAGATGAAAATCTCCACTTTGCTGATTCCAGTGGAATGTTTTATTAGATTTTCGAGCTGAGAGCACCCAATCAAGATGATGGAAATTGGGAACGAAGCCGGTCATTTTTTGATGTTTCTTTTATTGAAATAAATTGGGTCATGTGACAGCTTCATCCTGTTATTAGATTATGACGACCGACAATTGGAAAACAGGGATTTAGAGGATTAGTAGAGAAATGGATGAGAATCGATAAACTGTGATAATCTCCATAATTACAAGTCTTCATGAGTTTCTTAAGTGTAGTGTTTTCCATTAAATCACCAACAATGAGGCGTGGATTGCACTTTTCGCTTCAAAGGTTTATCTTTGATTAGTGAAATGAATGTCTTCAATAGCAGGATTAACTCCAATCAATCAAACGAGGACTATGTTTACACTAAAATTTATTTCGGGATACGTGTGAAAGGGAGCGGATCAATATCCATCACTTCACACGAAGGGAACCAAATGAACTTGAAATTTTTTTTTTTCTTTTCTAACAGCAAAATTTTACACTTCTACAACTTTATAACTTTTGATTTGTGTTAATTCTACGGTAGTGTCTCCGCTGCCGGCAACGGTGGCGCTAATATCACTTTTTACTTTCCTTATCCTATTGTAATCGGCTGAAATTTGACCTACCCAGATTTTTACATTTCTGGACGAATTATAGCTTCAAGACACCAAAAACGTTGGTTTGGGTCATGTGTGTGTATGTCTGTCTGTAAACAGCATATCTCGAGAACGATAAGAGCTAGAAATTTGAAATTTGGAAGGGGACGCTGCACAAACATTTGGTAAAAATCGGTTACACAAGGCGACAAAAAAAAGTCATGTTGTGACAACTTGACAAATTTTATGGCATTTTGTTCGTCTCAGTAAGGCAAATCAAATGCACTAAAAAAAAATCAAAAAGTCCACACACTTTGAACTAAATAATTTTTTTCTAATTTAAATGAATTTTTTTTTTATTAAAGAAATCGCTTCAACCGCAAGGGTTATTAGCGTCTAACGTAAAAAATGTAATTACATTATATTATTACTATATACAATACAATCATGTAAGATATTTAGATTTCGTCGTAGTATTTGGTTCTTTGGAGTAGTTTCTTTAGAGCTGGCCAGTTTAAAGGATGGCCTTGCCCTTTAGAATGATATAAAATTTGAAATTGAATATTAGCAAACTTTTCTTCGAACAATGTTCGAAGTAAATCGAAGTAATTTAAGAAAAACCCTACGAGTAATTTTTTTTTCTTCAAATTTTATATCATTCTAAAGGGCAAGGCCATCCCTTTAGAAGGAAATCGGCCTAATAGTTATTGAGTAATGATTTTTTAAAGTTAAAGTATTTTTAATTCATTTAAAAAAATTATTTTGTTCAAAGTGTGTGGCCGTTTTAAAAATTTTTTTAGTGCATTTGATTTGTCTCACTGAGACGAACAAAATGATATAAAATTTGTCAAGTTGTCACGACATGACTTTTTTGTCGCCTTGTGTTATACAATAAATTCATGGGGATACAAATTATTTAAAATCATGAAATATGCCTTATTAAACAATAAAATGTGATAAAATAAAAATAATAATGGGTACCAAACTAAAAAAAAATTGCACCCCAGACTCGAACCCGCGTGTAATCCGGATAATTTTCTCTTTGTTTTTTTCTTATCTAAAATGAGCTATTTTTGGCTTTAATTAATTTTCACGATCATAAAAACCCAATTTAATCTTGAAAAAAAAATTGAATAAGACAAATTAGTGATTTGTGTGGGGTGTGGAAATGTCACTACCACTTGATTGTTACACAAATCACTTGCCAAACCCTCTCCCAACATGACACAGTTTCCAAATTAATATTTATAACATGTGTTTGACAAAATTAGCAATTTGATACAGTTTCTGTTTCACTAATGGTTATGAAAAAAATTGCTCACATTTTTATGCATATTCAATTTAAAATTCGGCACCGCCCGGCTTTAGAGTCAATGGAATGTGGCTTCTATTTACCTATAATTTGCATACGCAATTAAAATGCTCAAAGACATGCAATTCGGATATTTTCCTTCACGCATTTCAATGACGAAAATTTTTGTTGCGAAAAATATGCATTTTGTTTTATAAATTGAAATTATTTTGCCTTTTCCACGTTTTTGTAAAGGTTTTGTAATGTTAGTGACAATGCAGTTAGGTTTTCTTTATTTTAGCTGGCGTATATGAAAAAAACCGACGCAAAATTCCCTTTTTTTTAATTTTTTAATTTTGTAAATTACAGCTAGACTATATCTAAATTGATTAATATTTTAATTCACACGTATGTAAAATGTGTTGGAAGTCGATGAACTATTTATCGTAGAACACTGATCTTTTTTGTATACGACAGAAAATTAAATTTTCTTTCTAACAGTACCACATATAAGAGCTTATCACCAATAAGTCCGGAGTTATTAGCAATAGACCGCTCCGGGTGCCAAAAATCGACCAAAATCTCAACAAAAATGTTCAATTTTAGAATTGATCCATATAACGTTTTTAACATTTCTAGAGGTCCTAAAGACTCAAAAAAATGCATAAAATGTTATTAGGTCAAGTTTAAGAAATTACGAATTTTTAACAAATTTTTCCTTTTTTTATTTTGTAAATTGCGGCAAAACTGTATTTCGGTGATATAATATTTTGACCTACACATATGTAAAATGTTCCGGGGAATTGATTGGCGTCACGAAAACTGCAAAATTTGTAATAGTTTTGAAGTTATAGTCGAATTTATATTTTTCATATTTTTGACTTTATCAGAAATTTTCTCGATAACTATTTATCGTAGAACACTGATCTTTTTTGTATATGATAGAAAATTACATTTTCTTTCCAACCATACCAAATACAAAAGATTATCACCAATAAATCCGGAGTTATTGGCACTCGACTGCTCCGGGTGCTAAAAATCGAGCAAAATTTTGTCACAAATCTAAAAATTGTAAACTTCAAAATTGATCGAAATGCATTTCAAAAATCTAAAGTGCATAAATGCAAAGAAAGTACAAGAG